ATAACACCCTATACAGTCTATGGATAGCGCTCGTTGCCTTCTCTAGTGCAGCTCAACCAGGTCTCGTCCCATTCGTCGGTATTTGTGATATCACAAATCCCGGAAAATATGCGTTGTAGTCCAAACGAGTTGTTCGTTGCAGTTTTTGAAAAGTGATAAATAAATAAAATATCTCCTTTTGAATTGGACTTTGAGCTTTGTAACTTTGCAGATCTTTTTTATGCTCAAACAGCAACATTACAGACTAACTAAAGTTGAAAAAGAGAAAAAGCATAATAGGACCCCTTTAATCTCTATAACAAAAAAACTAAAAAAAATTGCCTGGAACGCCTCATTTGTTTTCCTGCCATTATTTCCATGACTTAGCTACTATGTCACCATGATATACATTTGTATAATGCTAATGCTACATTTGCATATACTGGCTTGCTTTGGCCCACCCTCAAAGAACAATTAGTAAGGTAAGTGATTTCATTAAGTCAAGGAGACGCTGTTTTTTTCACTGCAAGGGCAAAAAAAACAAAACAAAACAAAAAAATTATTGTATGCACTTCCAATACCGATGCCATAGTTGAAGAAAACTGTACATTTCTGACATGCTGTAAACGGTTGACCAGCAGACCAATCAGATCAGACAGGGCTTTTTGGAACGGTGGGGTTTAAAGAGATAGGAAGTAAAAGAGAGTGTTTTAGGCAGAGAGTGAAAATAGTGGTCCTGCAGCAATGTACAGAATGAGAAACATAAGTCAGAATTGTTTTTTAATCAAAATGTGTTCTAGCAGACCCCAAAAATAAAATTATGAACTTGTAAATGATCATAACATGAGCACTTTAAGCTTTGATTGTCTTCATATGAAACTACAGAAATGACAAAATTCTGACCTCGTTCACATTCATAATGCAAACTTCCTCATGGCTATTTTTATTATATTGAAGTAACTGTTAAGTAGAAGAAGAAAGAAACAAGGAGTTTTGTTAGATTCGGTACAGCAGAAATTCACGTCTTCTGTCCCAGCTTGGCTTTCTGAGTGAGAGAAGAAACAGAAAAACTACACTGTTAGAGACCGTTATTCATTGCTTTTGATTGTGAATAGAGGGATTTTTAAATACTTACTATCCCTGATGCATGTTTTGGTTTTACGCTGTAGGTAGCCTTCTCTCGAGCTTGTCTGAAAGTCTCTTCTGCAGCTTTCAACCAAAAAAAATTTAAATTAAATTCAATGAATTGCAGTGACTGACTTGAGTTAGATAATGCTCAAGTCAAGATATTTTAGAGCTGCTTTACAACTTTATAGAAATAAAGGTGACTTGACTTGCAGTGAAGACAATCAGACAAGCAAAGCAGCAACAAAGGCATTTTATTCCTCACCGCTCCTGCAGTAGGCATCTATTCTCTCTCTTCCACAGCTCCTTAAAATTTGACGAAAACTCATGCCACACTGTGAAGAATGTGTTTGGTGAAACCTCCTTCTCTCCCGCCTTAGGCTTGACCGAGAAAAACATGCTCAGCTCCAGAAAACTGGAAAGCATTCAAAGAAAAGCATGACACTATGAACAAAATATTACAAAATAAGATTAGAAAGTTTACTCTGAGGAATTGTGAAATTGATCAGCTTACTTCAAGCATGTGAAATGTGGAAATTTTAGCTTATAAAAATAATGCTCTTACATAAAGAATGACAAGCGTAATTTGTTTTTGCCCACAGCAATCTTTTAGTATGCTTAAAACTAGTACTTGGAAGAAACTGCAACATTCAGACAATAAGCACAAAGACCTTTAAAATTAATTGATGTGTCATATTTGTTATTTTTTCCACTCCAAGAGCCAAGGTTTTGAATACTAGCCCCTTTTAAAGGAGACAATCTACTAACTGTCAATCAATCTCAGTGAATTGGACTATTAGTACCACAAGTTAGGGAAAAGCAGAGGTAAAGAAAGAGAGAGATAGAGAGGCTGATGCTAATGCACAAACATAGACACACACTCAGAGGAGACATAACCAATATGACACAGTTATAAGTGAACAAGAGACTTGGCACGATTAACACAGTAAGACAACTTACATGCTCTGCATGTCAGCGAGCTGTTTTTCCTGGAGCTCCAGCTCTGCTTTGGCTGTGGGAATAAAAATAGGACATTGTAAATGTGACACAGACTTTTATGCTTTTAAAATAGGTTTTTGTTTTGCTTGTCACTGAATGACACGAGTTATCATGAAAAGGTTATCAGAGATTTGATCCAGTTTTAAACAAACAGACTCCCATTTCAGTCAAAGTGAGAGGTGTTAAATTGCGCATATCTATATAAGTCTTTGCAGGTTATGGTCATCATGACAAACATAAACCCACGAAAATCTAATTACACATAAGCCAGTTGTAATTCGCTGACATAAAATATTAAGGAGCAAATCATTGTAAAATCATATTTGCAAATAGTCTCGGCATGAACATTTGATGAGGCACAGTTTGACTGCAGACGGAGAAGTAGGTCTCTGAAGTAATTACCACAGTAATGTCAATATCACTTCATTTACTCCTGCATGGAGAATCTCCTGTGATACACAAATAAATTAAATGACGAGGCCAGTGTTCGTACATATTTTCATACCACTCACCACTACAATTCTGTGCAACCAGAGAAGCCCCAAAACACAGATCACATCAGTTCACACCGCATGGCCTCAACATGAGATCTACAACTCATTACACTGATTTATAATGTTATTCAATGTATTTGTGCTTTAAAAAAAGCATTAAAATATTTAATAGGTAGTGGTGATTGCTGAGGCAATCATAACTAATACTACTGCTCATACGTAGGGTTCGAATTTTTTTTTAATGAACATTAAAGATAGACTGAAATTAACTTGAGGAAAGACATGACAATTATTTTCTGTATAAGTGATTGAACTTGTGATTTTTGATTGGAAGAAAACAAGCAAACAATCTTTTAGACCTACATTAAAGGAAGGACATGAGCCATATCTAAGGATCAGAATTTCACAGAGACTTGGGGCAGAAAGCAATTAACCAGAATACCCTAGCAATCACATGCAGTAGTAACTCCCTGGAAACCAACCACATCACCTAGAAAGCACTAACAACTACCTATCAACCATTTCACAACCATTTAGCAACCACACAGAAACACCCTGGCAGCCATGCAGAAAATCCTATCAACCACTTAGCACCCTATCACCCAGAACAGCCTAGCAACCACATAGCAACACCCTGGCAACTGCCTAAACCACATAGAAAGCCCTAACAACCACCTAGCAGCGACCTCAGAAATGTCTAGCAACTATATAGAAACACCCTGGCAACCCTGCAGATATCCCCATCAACCACTTGGCACCCTATCACCCAGAACAACTTAGCAACCACCCAAACCACCTAGAAGCCTTAACAACCATCTAGCAACCACCCCAGAAATGCCTAGCAACTACATAGCAACACCCTGGCAACCCTGCAGAAATCCCAATGAACCACTTGGCACCCTATCACCCAAAACAACCTCCCAAACCACCTAGAACCCAACCATCTAGCAACTACCCCAGAAATGTCTAGAAACTACATAGCAACACCCTGGCAACCATGCAGAAATCCCTATCATCCACTTGGTAACCCCCTAGCAACCACCCAGAACACCCTAGCAAGCACAAAGCACCTAACCTGTACCATGGTACAGTACTTTTTTGTACTAAAATGGCTCATCTGCTAGCTATTCTGTAATTTTGTCTATATATTGTACCTGTTACCATGGTAAATGGATTATCCCATTGCTTCTCAGTGCTCAGGGCAGCGGAAATAGTACAGCATTAAAAAAATGGTATGAGTAGACAGAGCGTAGACCAAACAGCACAGAGACGGTCTCTATCGCTTACACACGTACACACGACTGTCTCACTCAGTTTTTTTCCCTCTCTTCCTTTCTGTAGTTAATTTCATGCTCTGAAAAATAAACAGTAGTGGTTGAAGTGCTGGAGCCACAGACTGTTCCTCTCCTGGAGTTTCAAAATCATACAAATAACAAAAAATAAGACCAGTCCTTTTTTTCCGATCCTCGTTCTGTCTGTTTCTCTAACTGGAGGCAGTGTGGAGGGTTGAAGGTGGTCTTTCCGTGGTCATGTCACCCATCTGAGAGCTCAGTGAAGGAGACCCATGAGTCTCCAGATCAAAGGGGTAGCGATGAGAAGGGGGATGTTCAGCGAGGACCCCACTCCGCTGCCCCTGCCGCCAGAGCACATGTGGGTTTTGTTACGAAGACCAATTTGAATACAAAGAAAGACGGCAATACATTTAGCATTTACTAAAGCCTGTAGTGAAGCAGAGAATGAAAAATAGAAAGACGTTCCAGCTAACTCCAAGTTGAGGGATGGAAAAAGAGGTTACGCCATGGCAACTGAAGATGACTGGAGTGCGAAAGATGAAAAGAGGCCAATGAATTGTTGACGAGAATAAAGTGCCGACAGAAACGTTCTTCAGTGATACAGACAGATCAGGGAGGTTGACTCAGACACACTTAGAGGAAATAAACAAGAGAACAGAAACCATATCAAACAGAGATGGATCGAAGCAGAGATGGAGAATGCTATAGAAAGGCAAATAAACAAGATGGAGAGCTATAATAAAACACAATCGCCAGATAGTTCGGCTCGCCTTCATCAGAGAAACAAAATACTGGAAGGGTTGAATTAGCGATTAACGTGCCGAGGTGAAATGTGGATGAAATTAGTGAGAATAATGAAATTAAGGACTCTCACTTTTCATGTCACTAGCTTTACACAAATAATGTTAGAGCGATCGAGTCTAGGTCAGGTCAGATGTATTTCCCAGAATTCTTGTTGGCTCCCAGAGGCCGTCACAGAGCCTCACAGAACATTTATTACTCAGCACCTCATTTCTCCTTTCGCACAGGGCCACTGTACATCCATCCCAGCATTATTCAGACTTTAATTGTTTCCCAAGGTGATGTACGTAAAAGAAAATTTGCATGGCTCCTCTGTAATACTTATTTGGACGAGGGAGTGATGTCATTTTATTTATATAAGTAATGATGCATACTAGGACATACAGTGGGGCAAAAAAGTATTTAGTCAGCCACCAATTGTGCAAGTTCTCCCACTTAAAAAGATGAGAGAGGCCTGCAATTTTCATCATAGGTATACCTCAACTATGAGAGACAAAATGAGAAAAAACAATCCAGAAAATCACATTGTAGGATTTTTAAAGAATTAATTGGTAAATTCCTCGGTAAAATAAGTATTTGGTCACCTACAAACAAGCAAGATTTCTGGCTCTCACAGACCTGTAACAACTTCTTTAAGAGGCTCCTCTGTCCTCCACTCATTACCTGTATTAATGGCATCTGTTTGAACTCGTTATCAGTATAAAAGACACCTGTCCACAACCTCAAACAGTCACACTCCAAACTCCACCATGGCCAAGACCAAAGAGCTGGCAAAGGACACCAGAAACAAAATTGTAGACCTGCACCAGGCTGGGAAGAAAATCCTACAATGTGATTTTCTGGATTTTTTTTTCTCATTTTGTCTCTCATAGTTGAGGTATACCTATGATGAAAATTACAGGCCTCTCTCATCTTTTTAAGTGGGAGAACTTGCACAATTGGTGGCTGACTAAATACTTTTTTGCCCCACTGTACTATCTGCAATATATATTGTGATATTAAAAAGTACAGGCATTTTCATTAGATGACTTGAAAAGCTATATTTGAAAAAAGTGAATAATTTTAGAATGATTTTGTGAATGATTTTGTCGGAAAGTGCATTTGCATAAAAAAAATAAAAATACATTAAAAAAGCTGAAAGATTTATTTTTATTTTGATGACTTGCTTTTAGGGATGAACAATTTTGGAAAACCTTGACAAATTTGAGTGTTCGTATTTGGGTTTACTTGGTACAAGAACCAACTCAAACCTCTTTCAGTTACCATAAAGTGAACTGTTTTTTAAGAAATTCACAATCCACTTGAGTTTTGACAGGTTACAGTCCCACTGTTTTTAATAACTGACTATAAAATAACAATGTGATTTTAATTGTGATTATTATTAAATATTATTTATTTTATGTTAATGAATATTAACCAATGTATTGTAATAATGCCACTGCATGTAAAATAAAAAATTAGTATTTAAAAACAATAAAAATATGTATTCATATTGTACAACTGTAAAAAAAAAACTTCTTAATTTATTAATTTGTTGCCGGCAAAAAAAATAAATAATAATAATAATAAAATACTGAATATATATATATATATACTGAATATGACAGTTGTCAGTTTAATTTACTGCACGCAGCTTTTAGCATCTGAGAGCATGGTTGATTCACAGTAAAAATACTCTGCGATGCCAAAAAACTGTATCATTTGGATACAGCCTTTGGAATGCATTCCTGAAAACTATGTTTTTCAAAATAAATGCTATCTCAGGAATTCACTCCAATAATACATTTCTTAGGGCTAATATTACTTTGGTTTCTTGTTTAAATCCATGAGATGGCAAAAGGAAAATTCCTTCCGAAGTGGCAATAAAATCAGAGTTTAACATACCGTCCCCATGTAAAACAATCACCATCTGAACAGGGCTTATGTTTGCAATGTTTTTACCTCTAGTGAGAAATTCTTCCATTTTGTCCTTAAAGGGCTGCAGGTGCTCCTCAGACGAGACATTACACACCTTTTCTGTTTCTGCTGAACAGGCTTTAAAATAAATTAGAGAGCTGAAACAAAGATATAAGAAAGAAACAAACAAAATGATTAATGGAACTGAATAACAGTTTGTTTTAAACAGTGAAAACATTTTTTGTCAGCCTACAACAACTAGCCACACAAATAACCTTCAAAAGACACATTGTAGGGATTCTTGGGCAAGTCTTGTAAAGAAACTATAAGATGCATCAGCCAAATTTCTTAAAAAGACTAGAACTGCAATGGCCCCACCATATGGCTAAACTTCTCTCAACCAGTCTTCACCGATTAAACTGTCAAGACCAGCACTAGCATTTCAACTAGCATGGACTTTTATTAGCAGGTTAGCATGTTACATTCCTCGTGATTCCTCTTCCAACACTTTATAGATGAATCAGTTCAGAGAAAAATGTGCCATCTGTGACCTGTGCTATCAGTTGCTAATGAATCCCATTTGATTAACCTTTCCTTCGCTTCTGTTTGCTGTACACCTGGAGTCTTACAACAGGCCGACAGGCTTCACCGTGTCACACTCCATCCCTACAGTCGGTGATGGATCACAGCCTCGCATGGCAATCAGCGCATTGCAAACACACACATGCTAATGTCCCTGCCAGCTGATCAAGGGCTTTGTGAAAGCGAGGACCTGCCTGGTCGCCGGAAACATAACTCTGTGCCCCTTCCAGCTGTTAGTGTCACACATCTGCATTAGCGCTTAACTTAGCTTGTTAATGTAGTGATGATCCATTTATTGTATGGACCTGGCGTAAGAGAGAAGCCATGCTTATTGGGCTACGGAGAGATTTTAGGGATGTGAACTGTTGAGGATTCAGAGAAACACAGAACACTGCCAGAGAAGAAATATTTGCCTGCGTTAAACAAACGTAGGCTTGATCTGTTCAGCAGGTGTACGCCAAAACGATTTAGCTAAGCATCCAAGCTATGGACAAGTACATTTACAATTTATCAACCACATGTATAGTGGGCCTAACTAATAAGCTTTTGAAAGATTAACAATGCAAATCACCAGCTAGGGATTCGAGCGAAGGCACACGAAAATATGGCTAACAGCAGGGGTGAAGCTAATAGGCTGTTTAGCAATGCATCAAACCGACCATCTTTCAATCCGAATTTCCATGAACCAAATGCATATCCATCTGATATGTTTGACTGGTTCGAGTGGAACTAAAAAGGCTTGGACGTTATTATTTGTGTGTGGTAGACAATCTCACTCTGGACAGATGATTGATTGTAAATGTGTTTTTGATGTAGGGCAGTGTTCAAATTTGACCACATCAACATCCACAAGTGTTTTTTTTTTCAAGGATCTGAAAAAGCCAAACATGCTGACAGTGGAATGTGAGTATTTCCACATCTGTGTGTGTGAGTGTGTGTGTGTGTGTTTTTGTGTTGGCAATGAAAATGTTTGCAGGGATTTAAACTCAGCTTTGAGCATGTAATCGGATTCTTACACCTCATTCACACTCCGTCGTGCACTTAAGCTGGGTCGTACAACCTTTGACTTGCGGTACAAAGCTGAACCAATCTCACTAACCTTCTGAAGACCCTGATAAATTGCTTTACTGGTCAGGGAGCAAAGCAGACAGTGCTTAAGAGGCAGTTTAAGCCCTTTACCTGCCTGCTAGTTTCTTTTCAAAAACACCAGAATATATGGCATTTCCTACTAAAACGGTACAAAAGAGGATATAACATTTCTTTATAAATTTATTCGATTTTTTCACAAATGGCAAGTGAAAATATGAATGGATTTATACTGTAATTATACATTTTTCATTCATATTACCAGAATGTCTAAATGTTATATAAAACTCAAGTGTTCAAACTAAATTGAAAGAATTTGATGCATTTATTTGATCCAAGGATACATTTGATCAAAAATACATTAAAACTGTAATACTGTAAAATACTATTACAATTTAAAATAACTGTTTTCTATTTTAATATATTAAAAAAATACATGGAAAAGCTGAATTTTCAGCAGCCTTTTTCTTCAGTCTTCAGTGTCACACGATCCTTCAGTTGTCAGTTATCAGTTGTGCTTGAAAACTATGTTTTTCAAAATAAATGCTATCTCAGGAATTCACTCCAATAATACATTTCTTAGGGCTAATATTACTTTGGTTTCTTGTTTAAATCCATGAGATGGCAAAAGGAAAATTCCTTCCGAAGTGGCAATAAAATCAGAGTTTAACATACCATCCCCATGTAAAACAATCACCATCTGAACAGGGCTTATGTTTGCAATGTTTTTACCACTAGTGAGAAATTCTTCCATTTTGTCCTTAAAGGGCTGCAGGTGCTCCTCAGACGAGACATTACACACCTTTTCTGTTTCTGCTGAACAGGCTTTAAAATAAATTAGAGAGCTGAAACAAAGATATAAGAAAGAAACAAACAAAATGATTAATGGAACTGAATAACAGTTTGTTTTAAACAGTGAAAACATTTTTTGTCAGCCTACAACAACTAGCCACACAAATAACCTTCAAAAGACACATTGTAGGGATTCTTGGGCAAGTCTTGTAAAGAAACTATAAGATGCATCAGCCAAATTTCTTAAAAAGACTAGAACTGCAATGGCCCCACCATATGGCTAAACTTCTCTCAACCAGTCTTCACCGATTAAACTGTCAAGACCAGCACTAGCATTTCAACTAGCATGGACTTTTATTAGCAGGTTAGCATGTTACATTCCTCGTGATTCCTCTTCCAACACTTTATAGATGAATCAGTTCAGAGAAAAATGTGCCATCTGTGACCTGTGCTATCAGTTGCTAATGAATCCCATTTGATTAACCTTTCCTTCGCTTCTGTTTGCTGTACACCTGGAGTCTTACAACAGGCCGACAGGCTTCACCGTGTCACACTCCATCCCTACAGTCGGTGATGGATCACAGCCTCGCATGGCAATCAGCGCATTGCAAACACACACATGCTAATGTCCCTGCCAGCTGATCAAGGGCTTTGTGAAAGCGAGGACCTGCCTGGTCGCCGGAAACATAACTCTGTGCCCCTTCCAGCTGTTAGTGTCACACATCTGCATTAGCGCTTAACTTAGCTTGTTAATGTAGTGATGATCCATTTATTGTATGGACCTGGCGTAAGAGAGAAGCCATGCTTATTGGGCTACGGAGAGATTTTAGGGATGTGAACTGTTGAGGATTCAGAGAAACACAGAACACTGCCAGAGAAGAAATATTTGCCTGCGTTAAACAAACGTAGGCTTGATCTGTTCAGCAGGTGTACGCCAAAACGATTTAGCTAAGCATCCAAGCTATGGACAAGTACATTTACAATTTATCAACCACATGTATAGTGGGCCTAACTAATAAGCTTTTGAAAGATTAACAATGCAAATCACCAGCTAGGGATTCGAGCGAAGGCACACGAAAATATGGCTAACAGCAGGGGTGAAGCTAATAGGCTGTTTAGCAATGCATCAAACCGACCATCTTTCAATCCGAATTTCCATGAACCAAATGCATATCCATCTGATATGTTTGACTGGTTCGAGTGGAACTAAAAAGGCTTGGACGTTATTATTTGTGTGTGGTAGACAATCTCACTCTGGACAGATGATTGATTGTAAATGTGTTTTTGATGTAGGGCAGTGTTCAAATTTGACCACATCAACATCCACAAGTGTTTTTTTTTTCAAGGATCTGAAAAAGCCAAACATGCTGACAGTGGAATGTGAGTATTTCCACATCTGTGTGTGTGAGTGTGTGTGTGTGTGTTTTTGTGTTGGCAATGAATATGTTTGCAGGGATTTAAACTCAGCTTTGAGCATGTAATCGGATTCTTACACCTCATTCACACTCCGTCGTGCACTTAAGCTGGGTCGTACAACCTTTGACTTGCGGTACAAAGCTGAACCAATCTCACTAACCTTCTGAAGACCCTGATAAATTGCTTTACTGGTCAGGGAGCAAAGCAGACAGTGCTTAAGAGGCAGTTTAAGCCCTTTACCTGCCTGCTAGTTTCTTTTCAAAAACACCAGAATATATGGCATTTCCTACTAAAACGGTACAAAAGAGGATATAACATTTCTTTATAAATTTATTCGATTTTTTCACAAATGGCAAGTGAAAATATGAATGGATTTATACTGTAATTATACATTTTTCATTCATATTACCAGAATGTCTAAATGTTATATAAAACTCAAGTGTTCAAACTAAATTGAAAGAATTTGATGCATTTATTTGATCCAAGGATACATTTATTTGATCAAAAATACATTAAAACTGTAATACTGTAAAATACTATTACAATTTAAATTTCTTTATAAATTTATTAGATTTTTTCACAAATGGCAAGTGAAAATATGAATGGATTTATACTGTAATTATACATTTTTCATTCATATTACCAGAATGTCTAAATGTTATATAAAACTCAAGTGTTCAAACTAAATTGAAAGAATTTGATGCATTTATTTGATCCAAGGATACATTTGATCAAAAATACATTAAAACTGTAATACTGTAAAATACTATTACAATTTAAAATAACTGTTTTCTATTTTAATATATTAAAAAAATACATGGAAAAGCTGAATTTTCAGCAGCCTTTTTCTTCAGTCTTCAGTGTCACACGATCCTTCAGTTGTCAGTTATCAGTTGTGCTGCATAACATTTTTTTTTTTCTGTAAATTATTTTATGAATAGAAAGTTCAGAAGAGCAGCATTTATAGAATAGTACTGATTTATCGGTCACTTTTGATCAATTTAATGCATCCTTGCTATTAAATTGTTAGTATTTTTGTGACCCCTCCCCCCACCACCCCAAAAAACGCAAATTTTTGAACAGTAGTGTATACATACAGTATAAAGACAGCTCACCTACAGAAACCAGGAGTTAAGTGCTTTAGGCCTGAAAAAACAGGTTAAACCCCTAGGAAAAGTGCTGAAATGACCCCTCTTTCTTATTTATTTACATGCTGGGGCCTTTAACAAACCACATTTGCAGTGTTGATCATTGTGGCAGCCAGCTGGGGGCTCAATAAAAATAGTCACTTGAAAATCAATCAGCCTTCTAAAGGAGAACACGGGTCATTGGCGCTGGCGTATACAACCTAAACATGTCTGTATGTTTTTGTATATGCACACTTGTATGTGAGTTCATGTTTATAGGTATGTGTACATGTCCACGTGTTTGCATGAATGTGATCTCATCTATAGGCATGGAAGTGTGTGTAAAGCCTGTGTGTATATGCTATGCTTTGTATTTCGTATTGATCATTGTGGCAGCCAGCTGGGGGCTCAATCAGCCTTCTAAAGGAGAACACGGGTCATTGGCGCTGGCGTATACAACCTAAACATGTCTGTATGTTTTTGTATATGCACACTTGTATGTGAGTTCATGTTTATAGGTATGTGTACATGTCCACGTGTTTGCATGAATGTGATCTCATCTATAGGCATGGAAGTGTGTGTAAAGCCTGTGTGTATATGCTATGCTTTGTATTTGCGTGTGTCCACATCTCACCATTTAGATCTTTCCGTTGCTTGCGGAGGTCACGTTGAAAATCCTCAAACTTCATCTCTGAAGCCAGAAACAGATCCTGAGGCTCTGGAAGTGGGTACACGCATGTTTCTTTACCTGCATCCTGACACACAAACAATGGAAAGTCTAAAGCGCATTCACAAAAAAACAGGATGCTGTGTTTATGAGATCATAACTGTACCAATGCTTGATTTGAAAAATAATTGAATGTGAATTCTGTTCAAATAGGTTGGTGTTTAAAGATCATTATGATTCCAAAAACAATGAAAACATCAAACACAACAAATCAATCGCAATAACGCAATAACTGTCAGAGATCAGAGCCGCTCACATGCACACGCACACACACATGCTCTCTCCTTGTTATTTGCCTGAATGTTAGAAGCACTTCAACAACCTGTGGATCATATTTTGTCAATTTGGCACAACCTCGTAATCACAACATCTGGACTGACTGCTGACAGTATTACAATACAGTTCTTTTAATCGAAGTCCAAAAAGGGCGTCAAGCAATCAAAGGTCTCTGGTTATTCAGGGCGGCCATTTGTCTATATGGTGAAGCGAAAGAAAGGCAAATCAAAGTGATGAAACCAAAAACAAAGCCACATTTTTGTCTACCATGCAGGGTGATTCTAAGGGACCTGGGGGTCTGTTAGTCGAGCCAATGAAATAAACAGTTGGCCAAACCTACCTCATCAAAGTGTTGCAGATAGTAAGCAACTATGTAGGACAGGAGGCTCTGAGAATTGTCCTGATGGAGCGAGTGGAGGAGGAGACGAGAGATGGAAATAAACGCAGGAGAATAATAATTTTTCATGTTTTGGGATTGTATACACTTGTTTAGCTAAAAGCGATTGTGAATAAGAGGCCAGACCTGGTGGCTTGCAAAGGCGCTCGCTCAAATGCACATGTGTGCAGACACACAGACCACATGGGATGTGGATATAGGCTACTGCCTTGGCATAATACTGTATTGATGGCTCATTGTGAGTGATGCTGCCAGAACAGTCTGTTTATGACCTAGTTAGTGGGGTCAAGAGACCACCAAACTACTATATGCAAATTTACATGCAGGTTCAGACTAAGATTTTTGCTACTTTAGTGCTGGTCTATGTGGTCAGTCTGCACAGCCATTATGTTGACCAGTAAAACTCAAACTTAAAGAGATAGTTCACTTAAAATTTACATTTTGGCATAATTTACTCAGCATTATGTCAATCCAAACCTGTATGACCTTCTTTTCATCTGTGTAAGGTAAAATAGGGTATTTTGGAAAATGTTAGTAAATTCATGTATTTTACAGGTATTTTACCTGTACAAAAACAGCCTGTTTTGCTGCTTGATTTTTCAAACTGGTATTTCTTAACATGTTATTTTAATTTATTATCATATTCAGAAACACACTGGTTTGTGGCGCAAATATTTTTTACAGTTTACTGCATTTTGTCCTTCTTCTAGATTATCTATAGCGGCTGATGAATCAGAAGTCTTGCACATTCACAGAAAATAGCTTACTTCTGCTTTGCAAAATAAGGTGGATAACATGAAAGCCAACAGAGTGCAATATTTAAGACCCCATTGACTTTTACTGTATGGACAAAACAGACAGAAACATTATTTTCATACAGGTCTGAAATTACATAAGGGAATGACATAAGAGTAAATTATGACAGAATTTTAATTTCAGGGTGAACTATCCCTTTAAACTAGTGATATAGGGATCTCATTTTTACTCACACTGCTCTTGACATCTTTTAACTTGGGCAGGATGTCAAGGGTAAATCCATCTGCCTGTCCTCGGCTCCGGTTGCCCCCGTTCATAATGTTCCCAAATGCTAGAATCAAACCTAAAACCTGCAGGGTGGCTTGACTTGATTGTAAAGCCTTTAAACACAGAAGAGGGAGAAGTGGAAGCACAAGGAGGGAAACAGATGTTTTTCTTCACTGATTTCTAGCTGAACTTTTAACTTGAAATATGACAATGGTGAAGCTGTCAGTGCCATCTGACTAGTGTGCTTCATGTTCTCTCCACCATACAGACTCTCAGCAGTGTTTCAAGCTTGCACTGAACTGATGTAACACACTCTGTGAAGGTGGACTGGAAAAGAATGCAGAAAACCCGCTCCAAGAACTGAGGAACCTCTGACAACTGCAGCAGAAACCTGACAGAGAGAGGGACAAAAGAGGGATGCAATGTGAATAAAACAAAGATACTGTAGATAGATAGATAGATAGACTGATAAACAGATACAGACAGAGAGACAGACAGATAGACAGACAGATAGATATACTGTTCTGGCTTGTCCAGTGGTTTTGCATTTTCTTTATCTTTTGAAGACTTGATATATTTGTCAATCTGATCCATCTCGTCTTTCTGAGCTCTCTGTGAGGTTGACAGAAGAACAGAATGAAAGTACACTGAGAAATGTGATTTCATTTTGGGAAAATACACTTATATTCTTCTTATAAAACATTTGATAACTATCTAATAGTGATATAATCTCTAATACTCTCTGGAGTGTGTTTGTTTGTTTGTGCGTGTGTGTCTGTGTGTGCATTGCTTTATGATCTTTGATAAGCACCCAACAAACAAAGTATGATCCACACTTCAGACTGTGCTCTTGAGTCAGACAGTAAAAAAGAGAATAGAGAGAACAAGCAGGAGAGAGGAAAGAGGGGATATACTGTGTGTGTGTGTGTGTGTGTGTGGGGGGGGTATTCCGTGGTTTTGGTTGAAGGAGTCAGAGACAGCGTGGAGTCTCGCACACTAAAGAGAAACAACCTCAACATTTAAACTCAACAACACCGCCTCAAGCTACAGCGGGAATGGGTGGGTTGGAGGAAAAACAGAGGGATGGAAGGAAAGATTTCAGCTGAAAGTTTCTACACACAAAAAATTACACTTACACACACATACAACACCACACCACACCTTCATGTCACTTTATTTTTTGTTAACACTACACTATGTATTTTGGCCCTCTGGTGGTTGAAAAATAAAACTGCATGCATTTTGCAGAAGAACATTGTTTTGGTTGTGATTCGGCACTGCACAAATATATATGTGGATCAGACATCTAATTAGAGCAGCTGGAAAAATAAATAATGTTTTTTGTTTGTTTGTTTGCTTTTACAACCGATGATTCCTGGAGATTTGCCGTTCTGAATGATCTATGGTATATGATCTATGCTATACACACACACACACACACATATATATATATATATATATATATATATATATATACACACACACATGTATGAATGTATGTATAATGCAATGACGTTTGAATGAAAGGTATTCCCGAAATAACACAAGGAGCAAAATGACAATAAAAGTGCCCACATATGAACTGTTTTGAAATAATGATTAGACTTGTGTGAGGAACGTTCTGGCATCTTGTAGGTCTGAAGATGATGTGTGGCTAAGACGCCCTGTCTTTATCTCATCATAATGACATGCAGCACACACTCGTATACAGAAAACATGTAAAGGAGCTCTAGTGCTGACAGCAAGATTTATGACTGCTGCTGCAATGCACATGGCGATCATGGTGTGCAAACTCATCAGCACCCACGCACACTTAAAGAGTCCTATTATGCTTTTTCACTTTTTCAACTTTAGTTAGTCTGTAATGTTGCTGTTTGAGCATAAAAAATATCTGCAAAGTTACAAAGTCCACTTCAAAAGGAGATATTTTATTTAACAGATCACTTTTCAAAAACTACAACAAACGACTCGTTTGGACTACAACGCATATTTTCCGGGATTTGTGATATCACAAATACCGACGAATGGGACGAGACCTGGTTGAGCTGCACTAGAGAAGGCAGCGAGTGTTATCACTATGTTGAAGAGTGGTTACAATCATCTGGGTTTAAATCGCGCTCAAATTGATTTGATTTTTATGCAATATTTACACTGAAGCTCGCAGCAGCTATGGTAAGGGGCATGACATTTCCCGACCAGGCGCTGAGTGGTGCCAATCACAACAAACACTCGCCCAGCTAACCAATCACAGCACATTTCATATTTCAGAAGGCGGGCTTTCATTTGATACAGGAACTATTCGAGCCGTTCATGCCAGACTGGGGAGAGAGGCTCGTAGAAAAAATATAAACTCTGGATTCTGTGGTCGATTCTGTGTCAAGGTAAGGCATGTAATTCGCAATTAAGTGTTGTGGCTGGGTTGTTATAGGTCTGCGTGACTCTCGATGTCTTAGGCCTAATTGAACGGAGGAATTATGGTATTCTTCTGTAGTCCACTCATGTTTAGTACATGTTAACTCAAAGACTCGTAGAAAAAATATAAACTCTGGATTCTGTGGTCGATTCTGTGTCAAGGTAAGGCATGTAATTCGCAATTAAGTGTTGTGGCTGGGGTGTTATAGGTCTGCGTGACTCTCGAAGTCTTAGGCCTAATTGAACGGAGGAATTATGGTATTCTTCTGTAGGCTGACGACAAGTAACTTTAACCATTTTTTATGTGAACTCAAAGACAGCCTGATGCTTTGTATACAGACTATTTGTGGGTGGCTGTTTGTTGTTTCACCTATCAATTAATGTCGATAAAGTATAATAGGGTAAATCCTGTATAGTGATTTATCCTATATAGTGCTTGCATAAAGCAAGTAGTGCATACACTTGTAGCTTTTATGTACGTGACTCTCGATGTCTTAGGCCTAATTGAACGGAGGAATTATGGTATTCTTCTGTAGGCTGACGACAAGTAACTTTAACCATTTTTTATGTGAACTCAAAGACAGCCTGATGCTTTGTATACAGACTATTTGTGGGTGGCTGTTTGTTGTTTCACCTATCAATTAATGTCGATAAAGTATAATAGGGTAAATCCTGTATAGTGATTTATCCTATATAGTGCTTGCATAAAGCAAGTAGTGCATACACTTGTAGCTGTTATGTATCAATTGTAAGTCATTGTAAGCCCTCTTTTGGGGCTTACAAAAAAAACAAGTGGGCTCCCCCAAAGACCACGGTATAGTTCGAACACTGGTTGTAATAATGTAAAATATGTGAAAAATCATGTGTTTTTCGAACAACCTATTATGAGAGCCTGTTCTAGTACACCCCCAAAACAAAATCAAGAGTTTGTAAAAGAGCATAATAGGACCCCTTTAAAGAATGAAAGAAAATCAGTATTTGGTACCAACCAATCAGCTAAGAGCGAGTCATGGATCTTCCAAGAAAGTGGTTTGATTTATGTCGCCACGTCAAACTGATGTAGTCTGTAACCTCCAATAAATTACATAAGCTACAAATCTCAAAGCTCAGTCTTTTTTTGAACTGTCCTTTTTTTCATTCTTTGAGGGGGAAAACTTCATTCTCTTCATTTATCTTCCTGTCTGTCGTCAGTTCCATGTCTGCATGTCTGTCTTATACAGTCGTCATGTTCCTCTCTCTCTCCCTCAGACAGTGACACGCACCCTGGCTCCATGGTAAACATTACTCATTCCAGCGGTGTTTGTGGCCTGCATGTTTGTTTTGGTATTTAACACACATTTCTGCGGCTCCCTTTCAGAGTGGACCGCGTCAAGGCAAAGCTCCAAGATCTTAGGGTATATTCTGTCCATTTATGAGAGGTTTAAGAGTTTAATGATATGATAAATGATCACTTATGGAATTCATACTTCTTAAGAAATGTCAGGATTCATCACCTTTGCTTATCTGGACTGTCATGTTCTGTCATGCTGCGAACTTACGTTTCGGTTTGATTTATGTCGCCACGTCAAACTGATGTAGTCTGTAACCTCCAATAAATTACATAAGCTACAAATCTCAAAGCTCAGTCTTTTTTTGAACTGTCCTTTTTTCATTCTTTGAGGGGGAAAACTTCATTCTCTTCATTTATCTTCCTGTCTGTCGTCAGTTCCATGTCTGCATGTCTGTCTTATACAGTCGTCATGTTCCTCTCTCTCTCCCTCAGACAGTGACACGCACCCTGGCTCCATGGTAAACATTACTCATTCCAGCGGTGTTTGTGGCCTGCATGTTTGTTTTGGTATTTAACACACATTTCTGCGGCTCCCTTTCAGAGTGGACCGCGTCAAGGCAAAGCTCCAAGATCTTAGGGTATATTCTGTCCATTTATGAGAGGTTTAAGAGTTTAATGATATGATAAATGATCACTTATGGAATTCATACTTCTTAAGAAATGTCAGGATTCATCACCTTTGCTTATCTGGACTGTCATGTTCTGTCATGCTGCGAACTTACGTTTTCATACAGCGCCATCTCCAGATCCACCACAGTGCAATCCATGTTCATGATGGCTGTCAGAGAGAGAAAGAGAGAAGAAGAATGAGAGAATCCACCAGTGACCGACCAATCAGGACTCAAGATCTATTCAAATGATTTCTCAGGCGTCCCTGCCTTCACTTGTCAATTGTCTGGGAATTTAAAGTAATTTATTCTCCAAAGAACTAAAATGGCTAAACACATTTTTCCAGTAATACCAAAATAAAAGTAATTCATACTTTCATAAATTCATAATCAAATATTACAATATGTCCATAAATCAAACAAGTTTAAATTTAATATATATTAAATTAAATCTAAATTTACTTAATACTATAATATTTATTTTAATAAAAAAAAAATTATATATTTTGTAAAATAAATTAATACTTTTATTCAGCAAGGATGAATAACATTTACGAAAAATGTCAGTGAAGAGACATTTTTAAACAAAAAGATTTTCTATCTCAAATAAATCCTGTTCGAGTTTTCTATTCATCAAAGAGTCATGAAAATATGTGTCATGGTTTCCACAAAAATATTAAGCAGCCCAGTGTGCATAAAATACTTCTTTCATAAACAGTAAAAAAAATCTTACAAAAAATACTATTTAAACTTAAATGGCTCAATAGTCACATACAGCACAATATAAAATAAATCATCAAAAACAAAAAAATCTGTCTTTAACCCTGGGCATGGTCGATCATATAATCTAACAATCAAAACATGTTTACTCAGCACCAAACATTTATTTTCCAGAGTTTTTACATAATAAAAACATTTGAATCTCTAGCAGGGCTGTTATTGAGCTGGCTATAGACTGAACACTTTTTCTGTGCTAAATAGAGCTATTATGGGATAACGTTTGTGTGTTCAGTCATTTGGGGAATTGAGAAATTGATTATTGGCACATTCCAGAAACCACACAAGAAAGAATAACAAAAACATCCATATCTGGCCAAAGCACAGACGAAGAAAATGGAGACAGACAGCAAAGCATTACTCCTGTTTTGGGAGAAAGATATCAAAGAGAGCAACTGCAGCCTTAAAAGAGACGGGGAGAGGAAACACATGACAGTGCAAGAGAGAGAACAAGAAAGAGAGTGAAAAAAGTGTGCACAATATATGACTGGGTAATATAACCTGTCATCAACCCGACAATATTATCCCACCAGATCTACACCCCAATCACTATATACACAAACAACAACAGTGTAATCCCCACACCCCTACAACAAAGTCTCCAGACAAAGAATTTGTCTCTTGATGTCCAGGGTTGTGGTCTGTGCTTCCCCAAAACACTGATGCAGAAGTTTAGTGAGGCGGGCTTGCTTTAATCTGAGGGAGAGATTATTTTGAAAGCTTCTAAATATTTTACAAAACAAAAATCATATACCAAAGAATTGCATATTTTAATATGTTGTTTGCATTAAATTATTTGACTATGTTTGTAGCTGACATTGTGCTAAAGTTAAATGTGTTTAGCATTTGTTAGTCAATAATAAAAATAAACTTTAATAAATAATAATAATAATAATTTTATATTTAATATGATATACAGTATATATATATATATATATATAATATATTATATTATAAAACAGACATTTATTTGAAAGAATTTTGATAGTAATTTCAAATAGTAATTTGAAATATAAACAGAAAGGCTTAGTGGAAATTATAGTAGTAGTGTCTGAGTAGAAATTCTCACATTTATGAAACAATAAACACAATTATATGTTTTACACCCCAATGACTATAATCTGAAACCTGAAATTCGCTCACTCTTACTGTTATATAGCTCATCATTTAGCTGATGCTTTTAACCAAATAACACCTATTACAGGAGGAATCCCCCTGGAGCAACCTTGGGATAAGTGTCTTGGTTAAATGACCAATGGTAGCTTATGGATCAGGTTTGAACTCTAGCTCTTGTTACATATTTCATAGGCCAAACTATTTTCTCCAAGCAGTTTCATAGTTCCTAGCAGGTTTACAATATTCAGTTCGTGCCAAGCTTCCATAATTAATATCTTCCAAACGTACACAACCAGACAAAGAAAATATACACCGAATGCTACCATGTTTGCAATTCTTCAGCTGTACGGACACACACCACCTTCTCTCTCTAAACACTGCTAACTATAAAACGGTTCAATGTTTAGCTAACAAAGAGAAGAGGAGGAAGCATTTTATATTAAAACATGATTGTACACATGTGTTTTCTGGTTGCTTTCTTTGTGATCGCTGCCATGATTCAGAATGTTTCCACAAAACAATGTCCTGTGACAGTTCAGAAGACCCAAACAGATGACACTGCAGAACAACTGAGTGAGTCACTGAAGAAACATGACAAACAATTCGTCCAGAGGGGGTCGGCGTTGATCATTGCCAACGCCAAGCTGACTTGTGAAACTTAGAGACTGTTATGGGTAGAAATCAAAGGCTTGTCACCAAGTGTGTTTATGCAAGAGCTGCCTGTGCTCTAGTCAATCATGCAGGAGTGTTTTTCAGGCTCAAACATGAGATCTTATGAAAACCAGCTGAGGGAAACAAGAACGTTGACACAAAGGGAGCGATTCAGTGAAAATCCACCAAGGAGCTGCACCAGATTAGGTTTAGGATCCTTAATGATCCTAAGAAGAGTTTTTTTAATGTTTGATGGCTGATAATTGTATAATGAAAGGAAAGAGAGACAGACGGGCAACATCTTCTCTACTGACTGTAATAAATGCCTCATAACTTTGCATGAACCTTTAACCTCTGCAATTAAACCAACTCACGAAATTCTTTCCTAGTTCCTCTAAGGGCCTGATCCAGGATAGTGTGGTGAAGCATGATGTTGAGGAATGTATTGATTCTGGGTAAATAGCACTGTCTGAGTAACTGTTTGTTTCTATTTGGTGGTTTACTCTGGCCAAACATACTGGCCTCTGCAATGGGCAGAATTGCAGCGAGACCCAATGAGACCCGACCAGTGCTGAATTGTGGGTACTGAGCTGCATAATAGATGGGGACTGTGCCCATAAATTCTCAAAGAGCCAGTAAAAATGTCTTCAAATACCACCAGTTTAAAGACTAACTGAGGATATGTGTGCATGTGTGTGTGTATAATATTAGGCATCCGTTCAAATAATGTGATGTGGTTTTTAAAACTGCATCCAGCCTTGTTGATTCATTAAAACGAAGAAAGAAAAATAGAATTTAACAAAGGATTGTTGTTACAGTGGATTAGACTGGAGGGAAATTATGCATAAAAAAATGTTACTGAAAGAAAGCAGAATACAGCTTGTCTGACGCCTGTTAACCATTGAATGACTAAAAAATACGCAATGCTAAAAACACACTGCTGAAGAATACACATTTTATCCATCCTGATAGTAAAATAGTTTTTTTTTTAAATCACACACAAAACCCTTTTTTTCTCCTCAGAAATCAAATGGAATAAAACAACAAGGTAGTGTTCCACAACAAAATGAATCATAATAAACTGTTTGAGTAAAGGATTCGAATGACTCACTGATAAAGTGAATCACTCATCTAATCTGTAATTTGTTGCCACCTACAGGTTCATGAATGTTACCTGTACAATTATAATATAATATAATACAATATAATATAATATAATATAATTCATATTTCTCATCCTCTACTATCTGCCTTTCACAGGTACGTTTATTTAATTATTTAACTGAATTTAAAGATATTTAATTTAAAGTTATGTGTAGCCAATTTGAAGATATGTGTGTGAAACAATCAACCCTTCTGAAACATTTTTCTACTTTTACCAATTAGGTGTCGCAGTGTTTCTACTTTCCCCTATGTATTCTATTACAGTGACTCCTTCGCTAAATCACAAAATCCACAATCAAGAGTTCTGGATAGCTCTGGGAGTTGAGAGACAGGTCTAACATTCCCAAACTTGTGATGAAAAGAAATGGCATTATTTCCTTTATACTCGTTTTAAGGGGATGGACGAGCAGATAAAGTGATGACAACAATAACAGGGATAGAGAGAGACAAATTAGATAGAAAAAGGCCTCAGATAAGGCCTCAGACAAATGAGGAAATATCTTCCGCAGAGAAACAAGACATTGAGTGTTTTTTGCAAAAACAGATTAAAACCGTAACTATAGTATAAGAATAGAACACAACGAGAAAGATGATAAGGCTCTAATCATTACGTCCATTAAGATCTACAGTATCAACCTACTCTTGAACCCTGAAACGCAACCAACCCCTCTCCCTCCGGCTTTTAAACACAATCAGTAACTGTATAAACAGCACCGAATAATGAGTCTTAATTGGCTGTGACATCATATTTCCCCCTTTAGAGGGGTTACATGCTGAAAGGAGGCTGAGCAGAATCTCAGAATCTCATAAGTATAGCCATGAACACACACTATCAAGACTCCAGTGCATAATAATAATAATCATAATAATAATAATAATTCGATAAAAACCTCACCATTCTGAATATCTTTCATATCTAAATGAAGACTGGACATCAGAATCCCCACCGCCTGAGAACGTTTGTTACTCAGCAGCTTGACAACCTGAGAGAGAGAGAGAGAGAGAGAGAGAGAGAGAGAGAAGCCATATTTTGTTACTGTTATAAAACAGCAGCCACTTTATACTATAAAAAAAATTCCACAATTATTTAAACACAAAAGTTTACCCTGAATATTATTGCTGGTGACAAAAATGCATAAACACAGTATTTCATCTGGCTGCCCTCATAAATTTAATAGCATGCAGAGGTACTTTGGCCTAATAAGGAAGCCAAAAACAAAGCCAAAGTATGAGTATTTATGACTGTTTCCTCATATGGTATTATGGAGAGGTCTTCATCTCTCATTCTTTCATGCATAGCATCCACATATATCAAAATAACTTTACTTTCTCCAGTTTCTGGCTCTGCCAAAGAGCACCACAGTAATATAAAGATGACAGACCTGTCTAGTCAAATTAAACCGAGTTAGATTTGGACACTTTCCGACGGCCCCTTCAAATCAGGCATTTTCAAATAAGTCTGAGATGTGTGTGGATGCATGGGATACCTCACATAATCTGTCTTTTCATACTGCAAAAATAAAAAAAAACTTCTTTATTTTTTCCTTTTTTAATACATTTTTTATTTTTTTATTTTAAATCAAAATACAAGATATTAAGTCTGTCCATTATCACATACACATTGAGTGCCATCACAAACATATCGTCTTTCATGACCGCCTGTTAACAACACTCTAATTTTGATTGTTGGAAAGAATTTGGAGCCATGAAAACCTAAGACAGGCCACACTTGAAAGCGTGAGATGGCGGCCTATAGTGTGATCATCAAAAAGCCGCTGGATCTCATTATCTCCACGGGGCTCACGACCACTAAATACAGCGCGACTGCAGAGTGCTGTGCTACGTTAATGATGTGGGAAACACACTCATGCCTGTGATGAGCTGGATCTCAAACCAGACGCTTACCGACCAATGAGAATTGATTCCATACTCTAGCACCGTTTCAGTGGGAAGCGTGGATGTCGCTGTATGAGGGAGGATGGCGGTTCGGCGGTTGTACAGTAACTACCAGCTAAAGGACCAGATAACTACTGCCAAAGCAATAGGCCGTAAAATGAACATGATTCATAAAATTAACATGATTATGTGGGTTCAAATGGAGCTTCAGGCAGTTGTTTTTAATTTATACATCTATTTCACGTGAATTATAAGGGCATTTGATTACATTAGCACTTTAATTCTGACTGATATGTGCAAACTGTAAGCCTAAAGCAACTATTCTGTGAATAATGCTGAATAGATTATCTAATGCACACACACCCACCCACTCTCTCTTTCTCTTACACACACACGCACACATAAAGTGTGGCACGACCACACTAGGCTGACTGGAGTCGCTGGGTTGGCTGGTGGTTTGAGGGTTGTGGGTTTTAACTCAATACAGAGAGAGAAAGAGAGAGGGAGCAAACAGAAATCTTTCAAAAGTCTTAGAATTTCTCAATATTTACATGGTAAAACATCCAGCTTGTTATTTATCCTATTTGTAGACAATACCACTGTGTATTTTCAAAACGTGTTCATATTAAAACTTTTTTTTCCTCCAGAGGTTGGTATTGCCATGGTACATGTCTGGAAAAAAACATGGTATTACCATGGTAAATATCTGGAGAAAAATAAACATGGTATTATGATGGTAGACATACATATTTTTACTGTACATATAATACTGTTCAAAGTCTGGAGTCTATAATATTTTTAAGTCTCTTATGTTTACAATTTAAAATAACTTTTTTTTTTTTATCTGTAAATGTTTTAATTAATTTATTCCTGTGAAATTTTAGCAGCCATTACTCCAGTTTTCAGTGTCATGTGATCCTTCAGAAATTATTCTAATATGCTAATTTGTTGCTCAATAAATATTTATTATTATTATTATTAATGTTAAAAACTGTTATGCTGCTAAATATTTCTGTGGAAACGGTGATACTTTTTTCAGAATTATTTGATGAATATAAGGTTTAAAAGAACAGCATTTATTTGAACATCAATATTTTTAATTTAACTTTTGGTAAATTTAATGCATCCTTCCTGAACTAAAGTTTCAAATTCTTTAAAAAGAAATTACAAATTTCAAACTTATATTAAACTATAAACTATATATATATATATACTATATACTGTATATATACTGTATATATATATATATATATATATATTTATATTTTTTTTTTTTTGTAATAAGCACATCCTTCATGGAAATGATCTTTTACCACATAACATATCTTTACATAAGTCATAGTTGAAGAACACAGCTGCAGGACAATTACATTTGTGTGATGCAGTTTGTAATCTGCTTGTTGTGTAGCTGTGGGTTGGTATCAGAAATCTGTTTGACTTCAGACGAAGGAACCACAAAACTCTCACCAGTGACTAATTTTCACACCACTACCAGAGAGGAAGAGAGACAGCGAGATTAGCTTCAGATGTGGTAGATGTCTGGGTTGTTTCTGATGGTAAACGGTCTTATCAAAGAGTCTCATAGTCACACTTTGGTTAAGGGAACATTAAATAAAGCTTATAACATTTACTGAATGTCTGTAAGGCTCTGATTCACAAGCTGTGCGTGTGAAATTAGTGTTAATGGTTTTGTGTGTGGTGAGGTGGGAGCCTGGGCAGAGCTATCTTCAAGGGAAGACAACTGAGAATTTTGTCCTGGGAGCTGAGACAAGGGGGGCCTACTAAGTTCCACTATGGTATGGCCTACTTGTTGGGTCCATGAAAAGGGGTACTACCCAAAAAATGTCCTGGGCCCAGTGTTTTTAATCAGTGGGAGTGTAGAAAAGGGCCCTGTCAGACTGACATGGGTTTGGGGGGGATGCTTTCATTCACAAAACCCTCTTCCACAGCCAGTGAGGTTTGGAACATTTTGGCTCCAGACCTCCAGGCCTCAGGAATTCTAGAGTCATTAGTAGCCAGAGAAGTTCCTTCATGCGATTTGATATGGTCACATGTGTACCAGGGCATAATATATGTTAAGTATTACAAATATGACTGTAAAAAAAGACATATTCTGCAAAAAATAAAAATCTACTGGGTAGTAAAGCCAGTTCCATTTGCGAAGGAATCTGCATTATTAATCATATTAAAGAACATTCCTACTAAAAACATGAGGAATAAGCTGTACTATAAGGTGTTGCGTGTGTGCTTTGAACATTGAAATACAAGCGGTCATTTATCATCTCAGAATTCAAACATGGTGGATCTTAAAATGCAATGGCAGGCACAGCGTCTGCTGGACAGATGTTTAAATCAGGATAAGATGCTGTTAGGATGCTGTTTACAGAGGGTCTCATAGCAACGCTAAAGAGACGTATGGCTTGTGAGGTGGTAAAATACTTTCTTAGCAATGTAAGGGTGTTGAACCTGATGGAGAATGATTTAAAACTAGCTAAGTGTTTACACTCACTAACATACACATTCATGGACGATAGAGAAAAGCAAATGCATGTTTGATT